ATTGCTTTTACTGAAGTGAGAGTTAAGCCAATACTAGTTCTTTTGAAAATTCCATGCCTTGCCTTCCCATCTTTTATGATGTTGTTTGTCCAGTAGGTGGAGTGAACACATCAGTTTAGAGCCATGAACAATGAGGATCAGTTCAATTCCATGTACGTGAACATTTATTTCTCTTAGGAAACCTATACTTCTATGAACGAGATTGTTTAGATAACAAAGTGGAGCACTAGAAGAACATACAAATGAAAAATACAATGTTAAAAAGTACAACAAAGAGAAGATCAAGGTGGTTACGTTCAGAATAATGGAAACTGTCAGTGTTGTTTCTGTGGTATCATAGGATTCCAAGGTACTTCACTGGCCTTGAATTCCTAAATATATATATTCCCCAAAAAGATTCTCAGATATAAAGATGTAATAATATTTATCACATATGATGGCTTCATAGATTTCATAGACATTAGGGCTGGAACGGACCTTGAAGAGGAGCAGGAAGTTGGTTAGGGTCAAAGGATCCCAGCAAGATAAGCATTCAAGTGTTTCTTGAATGAGTCTAGAGTAGGTGCATGCACCACTTCTGGAGAGAGTGTATTCCAGGTCTTGGGGGCTCGGACAGTAAAGAAATTTTTTCTTATGGCCAGCCTAAAATGGTCTTGGAGGAGTTTATGACCGTTGGTCCTTGTTTTTCCTTGGGGTGCTCTGGTGACGAGACGTTCTCCCAGGTCCTGATGTACACCCCTTATGTACTTATAAGCAGCCACCAGGTCCTCCCTGAGCCTGCGCTTTTCCAGGCTGAAGAGTCCCATGGCTCTCAGCCTCTCTTCATAAGGCCTATTCTCTTGCCCTCTGATCATGTGCATGACTCTCCTCTGGACTCTCTCAAGCGTCTCAACATCCTTCTTGAATTGTGGAGCCCAAAACTGGATGCAGTACTCCAGCTGTGGGCTCACCAAGGCCGAGTACAGTGGGAGGATAGCATCCTGAGATTTACTTGAGAAGCATCTATGAATGCAAGCCAAAGCTTTGTTTGCTTTACCAGCTGCAACATCGCATTGGTGGCTAATGTTCATCTTGTGGTCAATCATGATCTCCAAGTTTCTTTCAGCAGTGATGGTAGCAAGCGTAGCACCGCTGAACCTATAAGTACGCTGCAGGGTTTTTTTCCCCAAGGTGGAGTACCTTACATTTATCGGTATTAAACGTCATCAGGTTTGTATCTGCCCACTTGCTAAGTTTATCCAAGTCACCCTGGATCACTAGCCTGTCCTCTGGTGTGGACTCTATGCCGCAAAGTTTAGTGTCGTCAGCGAACTTAGCCAGCACGCTTCTGACACCAATGCCCACATTGTTGATAAAGATGTTAAAGAGAACAGCTCCAAGGACAGAGCCTTGAGGGACACCACTGGTCATGGAGCACCATAATGGTTTGCTACCATCGACCACTACTCTCTGGGTCTGACCTCGGAGGCAATTTCCCAGCCAACGGACTGTGGTGTAGCTGAGGCCACATTTGGCCAATTTTTCCATGTGGAGGTCATGGGACACCAGACCAAAGACTTTTTTAAAGTCCAAATGTATGACGTCAATCTCTTCTCCCTTGTCCAGGTAATATGTCACCTGGTCGTAGAAGGAGATGAGATTGGTCAGGCAAGACCTACCCATGACAAACCCATGCTGGCTATCCCTCAGGATGTTGCCCTCAGCCAGCTTATTCAGAAGGGTCTCCTTGATAATTTTCTCCAGGATCTTACCAGGGATTGAGGTCAAGCTGATTGGCCTGTAATTCCAGGATCTACTTTCTGCCCTTTCTTGAAGATAGGTACCACATTAGCCTTCTTCCAGTCTTCAGGTACTTCACCTGAACGTCACGAGTTTTAGAATATTTTTGCTGATGGTTGGGCTATGACACCTGCTAGCTCCTTGAGTACTCTAGGGTATAATCTGTCAGGACCAGCTCACTTGAAGGTGCCCAGCCTCTCAAGGTGATCCTTTACTAGATCAACACTGATACTGGGTATAAATATGCCCAGCTTTGTTACACCTTACACCGTGAGCCACACATGTTGATAGGTGTTAGTGTTTGCTCAGGTTTGGAGCAGCAGGGGCCTGGAGGGCTGAAAGGTAAGGACTCCCCATGCTGGGCTTCCTCCTGTCATCTGGGACTCCCCTCCACCCGTGGGGTGCGTCCTGCCTCCCCCAACTCCCAGGACATTATTTACTTGTTGCTGCCTGCTCAGTCTGTCCCAGGGGAGCAGACAGGGAAAAGTTATACTGCCTGGCCGGCTGCTGCTCTTCTGTCCCAGAGAGTGGCTGTGCAGGTAGGTTAACCCTTCCCTGCCTGCTCCCCCTGGGACAGACAGCATGGGCCACCACAAGTAAGCAGGAGAAAGGCAGGGAGGCAGTGGGTGGGGATCTGGATGCTGGGGAAGGCAGGGGGTGGGAGGCAGTGGCCCTGATCTTGGCCAGTGGGGGAGGGGGACAGGTGGAGTATTTACAATAAGATGTAGCCTAGAGTGCCTGTACTTTAATGTAACATGAGCTGGGTAGCACAGATCGGAGAGAATCCTGCCCTGGAGTAGGTAACTTTGGGCTGCATAACAAGTGCTTAAAACCCGCTTCAGGAGTTAATATGCAGACAATCCAGGGGTTAAGAGCTCCAGGAGCTGCCCAAAATTACCATGTAACAGGGCCCTGAGAGGGAATGGATTCTATGGTCTAAATCTTTTCCCACTTAACACAAGTAGCTCCACTGATGAAAACTTGTGTGAGGAAATGTCCCCTAGTGTGAACAAGGGTTGCATCGTTTTAATCTGTGTAGCCAAATTGTACCAGATTTACAATGTGAGTATACACAGTAGTCTTATCATACTCTGATAATACTCTCAGGGAAATCAGAAAGAAGCTAATTCTCCGTAGTGCATCTACATGTTCATTAATGTGCCATACTTACTGCACATTAAGTTTAGTACTTGTATAACTAAGCATTAATTAATGCACAGTAACTGGTGCTACTGCACAGTAGCACCAACCACGGCTTTTTAGTGACAGTAACTGGGTGGTAGCCTAATACTACTGTGCAGTATTGTATTACAATAGTTTTTGCCTTGCACTCTACTGTGCAGTGTTATTAGGCTACTGGCCAGTTAGCATCTCGTGTAGACGCACCCAGTATGAACATATGAAGAAGGATAATGAAATCTGTCCTGTGGACCTGTTTACTAGAATAGTACGTGCAAAAAAAGCTACATTTAAAAGAACGTTATTGTTTTGCAAAGTGAAGTTCTCAAAAATAAGGAAGTACCAGAACTAAAGCTATTTGTGCAATTTTAATTCATCTCCCTTGTGCATCGTCATTTCGAGATCTTCCTGCAATCTCTAGCTGTCGTCTTACCCCTCTGGATTCCAGATAAGCTTATTCCTTCTCCTCCACACTATTGAGGGATCAACTATAGTAGAACTTGGAGTTGTTCTCAGTTTCCATGCCTGGAATTGCATCAACCCTAGAGACTTAAGAGGTGCAACTGCAGGAAAAGTCATGCTTGGTCCTTGCAAGCTTGCAACAGAGCAGGTCTAGTACAGTTAGAATCTTTAAAGTTATAATAACCTATGACTTGCAGAGGTGTATAGCTTTAAAAAGATACTAAAATGGATATTAAAACACACATCCCTAACCCTTGATGAGTTTCAAATACTGTTCCAAATCACATGGGCACTAGGGCTTCTCAGAAAAATGACTGTTTTATTCATGGTTCCAAAACCCAGTTCAGTATGAGGTAGACACAAGCATGGAAAATTTCAGCCGTGGAATAGAAATTTGGCAAAGTTACAGATAACTCCATAGGGCAGGGGTACTCACCTTCCAGCCCATGAGTTATATCTAGCCCACGGGTTGGGAAGCTTGGTGGCAGGAGAACAGTGGCAATTAATATTACCATCCCTTCTGCTGCCAACTTCCCAAGCCTCACCAGGCCAGATCTGGGCTGGGTCATACTCCCTCTCCCTGTGCAGCTGGCTCAGGTCTTGGCCATGCCCCTCAACTCCCTGTATGGCTGGGTCAGGGCCGGGTGACCCCTCGCTGCCCAACCCTACCCAACACAGCCGGATCAGACCCCTACCACACCTGCCCTGTGTGTCAGATCTGGCCCGTGGACACTGGCCCACAGAGCCAGAAGTTTGGGCACCACTGCCATAGGGCTATAACATGGTTACAGTGCTTCCTCTCCAATGATCGTAACTGGAAGGAGGAATGTGTTGTGATTGTGGCATGGTTTCACGTGTGTGTTTGACTGGCAGCTTTTGAGTGTGCAGTTATCGTAAGTATTATAGATGGCCTGAGAAATCAAGAGTGTTTACATTAGCAGTGAACTAGGCTTATTATGCAAATAAACACTGTCTAACAATCTTAATTGATAAGAGAGTATTATATTCAAAACTGGGCTAGAGTCCTTTGAAAGAATGTATTGTCCTTCTATCTGTAATCTAGCAAACTCGTCTGATCGAGTTTGGTTTCCCACCCATTAAAATAGCAAAGAAGGTATTTGTAATCAGCTTCATGAAAATATGGTGAAAATGAATTTAACCCTGGGTTGATTTTAAAAAACAAAACAAAACAAAAACCAAACAAATGAAACTCCAAAAAACCCTAATGAACTGAGTTCAAACACTGACACCTCTGTCTCATATGGTCCATATAATAAAATAAGTCTGATCCTTACAGATATATCTGCACCTCCTCCATTAGCTAATATTTTAGAATGGTTAGCGTTGTTGCCTGAATGTTATATACCATTCAAGTCAATAAATAAATCTCATTCTAGACTTTGTCAAGGTCCTAGAAGTATTTAAGATGTTCTGTAAACCATCCAAAACTCTTTCTTTTCCCTTTATACAACCCGTGCACAAAAGGATTGCCAGGTAACAGTGGTGCTTAGCTTTTTTTAATCAATTGCTTTTAAAACACTGTGTATAATAATTTTTCCTTATACCTCTTTTTGTCTAAGGTTGGAGATGAGATAGTTCGGATAAATGGCTACTCCATCTCTTCATGCACTCATGAGGAAGTAATAAATCTTATCCGCACAAAGAAAATTGTGTCCATAAAAGTAAGACGTAAGTAATACAAAATGCATGTACTGTCAGTGTAAAAACCATAGCAAAGTGCCATGTAGCTAATTGATGGTCTGTGGAAAGTGTTATCTGACTTACATTTTTTATTTTTGCAGATGTTGGCATGATACCTGTCAAAAGGTAAACACAGGCAGTCTATTTTCTAAATTCATATCCGTACAAATTAAATTGTATGTTTCCAGGTACCCTCTACAATCTCTAAATAATTCTCTAAAAACCTCCATTAATACACTTGGAAAGTTTATAAACATCTACTTTACAGATGACTAAACTGATATCTACTTGTTTGTGTTTGATACTTTTCATTTCCAGTCTGAAGTGAGCCAGTGTGTTTCTGAATTATCTGTGGAGTTTATCTGGGACTCTTATAAATTATATCAATAAATTCATTTAATGAAGAGCTCCACTTCCTTTGCAGGGATATCAGCTTTTACTATTTTTTCAGAGGTAGCAGTTATTGAAATTTTTCAAATTTTGATTATTGGTCTATGCTCATTGTTATCAAAATGTTGAATCTCAATAGAAATCAAATTAAAATGTTTTATGAGAATTTTCCTGTTGTATACTTGGGTGGGTAAAACAGGTATAAGGGCATGAACTGATAAAGATTTTTGGCTTTCAAATTTTTTTTTAAAAAAACAAGCAAAACTTTTCCCAGAAATGGTTTATGTTCCTTTTTTTACGGACCAGCTTTACTGTTATAATTAACTACATGCTTGCCTGGTATCATTTAGGATATCTTACTACCTAACTTTAAAACAATATAAATTTTTATGAGTATTATTTATTTGTAAGTTTAAAATAGGAGGTTATTTGGAGGTCAGTTTTAATATCAGATTCTCAATGCATGTTAAAGATGGTTTCCCTATTAAATATAAATATTTTATTTTTACTTCCAGCTCTACAGATGAACCTCTTAAGTGGCAATATGTGGATCAGTTTGTGTCAGATGCTGGGGTGAGGCACCTTATGTAATGAACCTTCTAGGAAAACGTTTAGAGAAATTGAAATCACATCTTCCCCTGTGCTTATAGGAATGATTGCTTCTATTTGTACAGTACAATATGTATGTACTAGCAAATTACCCACCAAGAATGCTGGGGGAGGGGGTCAGGCCGGGATGGAGTACTGCCACCTAGCACCCCATGGCACTGCCACCTCCCAAGAGCAGGCGGGGGAAGCTTTCCCCACCATCCCCTCTGCCAGCACCCCCCACCGCCACTGCCTCTGAGTGATGGCCTCGACCTCCCTGTCCCCAGCCCTGCTCCTTGGCAGTGACGGCGGCGGTGGGTGGTGGCAGTGTGGCCCTTGCCTCACTCCCCTCCCCCCTCCCCCTCCCCCCTGCTCTGTCCCTACCATCATGGCAACACTCCATCCCCGCTGTCATCCTTGACAGGCAGTTTGCTAGATGATGGAGGGGACAGAAGGGACGGAGGGGCAGATGAGGCCAGTGCTCTGCCACCACCACCCTGTGCCGCCACTGCCTCCAGGGAGTAGGCCCGTTCCATCCTTTCTATCCCCGTGGTCATGGTGGAGCTCCGCCGTGTGTCTGTCTGTGCGGAGCACTCTGATTGGTTGTTTCAATAAGCATTGCGATTGGTTGTGTAGACAACCAATCAGTATGCTCCAAGAGCATTAAGGCAGACACACAGAGGGATAGACTAAGCCCTTTATAGATGAAGAATGTATGTAATCCAGAAGAAATAGTTATCACTAGACTATTTAGAAACAAAAATGTGTTATAGAAAGGAAATGACTTTTACTCATGAAAATAAAAATTGGTTCTTTTGCTTAGATTTGATAATTCAGCAAGCTATTTTATATTGCTAAAAGTAACTTTTTTAACAGGTTACTTGGTGTAGCCAGGCTGTTCAGTTAAAGTTTAAAATTCTAAGAGTGAATGTGAATGACTTTTAACCTCTTTAGCATCATAGAGGGGTTTCAAAGCAGCAGTAAATTACATTTATACTTACTGAGCACTTCTACACAAGACATTTACTGCAGAGTAGACTAATTGGTCCCTCAGTTAACATCCTGCATCTACATATGCAGCCCTATTAAGCTGGGATTACAGAAGAAAGAATCAGTTAAAAAAAAAAAAAAAAAAAGGTAACAAGCATTTTCCAAATACTTTTAAGTAATTTTTTTGTCAGGGGATCAATATCTGATTTGTTTTTCTTCTGTCCTTCCTTCAACTTTTCTCCACTTCTTTCATGAGATGTGGCTCAGTCCTTTTGATGATCCTTCCAATAATAAAAGGCTAAATTCAGTTCTGGCTCAACTGTTCTGAAGTTAGCTGTACTTGTTCCACTTTTATATTGGAACCAGATGACATCACCTTTAAACATATAGGCTACGGACAGAAATTACACATAAACCAGTATAAGTGATTGGAAACTGGTTCAAATCTGTAACCACAGGAGTTCAGTGGACATTAACTGCTTCAAAAATGGCCCAAACCAGTTTTAGATAAACCTGGATGGATGTAGTATCAGACTTAACTGACTTAGGTTAAATTGGTTTATTGAACTTCTGTCCCAGAGCCCCTCCAGATTCAAGTTAACGCACAGTCCCCCAACATCCCAGGATGCTTTGCACCTCCACTGCAAACCACTCCTCACAGGGTGGGCTCGCCTTAGCCCAAGCTGCCTGCTCCAGGAGAGCAGAGGGGCATGCTCTAGCACCCCCTAGCTTCCAGCCTGGGCCAATGTAGGCGTGTGGCTGTATTTCCAGAATCAAAAGTGAATGTCTATTCACTTGCTTATTGGTTCAATCTAAACAGTTTAGACTAACCTACAAAGATTGAATAGATTCAGCCTTGGGCTTTTGACTGTCTGTACTTAGCCATAGAGTGTAATTCTGAGTTGTTTCAGTCAGCAGTGACTTAACTACAGTAAAGATTTCACTCATGGCCTTTTTTCTTTTGATTCAGGAAGGAAAAGGCAGCATGGCAGGACTTACTTCATCTGGAGGAAGAGACAGTAAAGAGAAGAAAGTCTTCATTAGTTTGATTGGTACGAAGGGTATGGGATGCAGGTAGGTAGACTTAATATGCTTTGCAAGAAGCATGAGTAAATTTGGAGTGAGGAAATCCAAGGCAGTTATTACTAATATTTACATTTGTGTGTTATCAGGAAATGTATTTTCCTAATATGAGATAATATTTGTTACTAAAGTATTCCCCTATCTTTGTCATTGTGCTATTTAAACACAAGTGAGATGTCAGTGTAGGTGCCTACATGCTGAATTCTTGCAGTCGAGCTCTTAGCATCAAAATAATAAAAAAAATGTATTACAAGTGTGGCTGGGTCCTACTAGAGCCAGGACTACTGATTTGCTGATAATCCTTAATAGCTATCCTATTTGGAGGCAGACCTCCAGACAGCACACCCTGTCCCTTTAGGGGTGTCTCTAAAGAGAAATCAACTCCTTGAGACCAGATATAAAACAATATAACAGTCAGTTGGTAAAATAAGTATCATGATAATACAGAAATTCCTCATTTTCTCCACAAGGTGAATTTAAACTGAAGTAATTTTTTTTTTTAGTGAATCTTTATGTATAGACTAGCCATTGGATAGGCAAGTAGCAACCTGTGATTGGATTAGTACAGGCACAGTTTGAAGCAACTCTCTCCAGGGATCCTGGTTTTCTCTGATTTAAAAAAATCCCCAATTTTCAGTTAAAAAAAGTAACCCCAAATGCACATTTTCCCATGATTTAAATGAAACACCACTAATATATAGATACATATATATCAGTGTTTCGTATATACGGGTTAGTAAAAGCCTGAGCATTGAATGAAAAGCATATAACGTGAGCATATAATCAGTATGCTTTTTACATTTTCAGTTTAGTGTAATCCAAGAGCCAGTTCCCTTGATGTTGTAGATCATTGTAGCTTCATTGACTTCTGTGAAGGTACACAGCTCCTAAGGATCTAGTCCAAAATGTTTTTATTAATGATGATAATTTTTTATTCAAGTAGTTATCATTGTGAAGGCTCCTTATCCTGCAAAACAGACACCTTGAAAAGGAGAGGGGCTATTCAGTTCCACAGCACTTAAAGCATTCTGTACTTAATGAGCATTGTTTACATTAAAGCTGGATATGTGAATCCCTCCATAAGCATGTGGCAAGGGTTTTTTCATTATATCTTTTATTGGATCAGCTGTAAATTAGCTGTAATGTAACTGTCTAACACCTCTCCCAACTATAGAGTGGGTCCAATAAAAGGTATCCCCAAAAAATCCTTGCCTCTTGTGTATTTCCTGGGCCACCATGGCTGCAACATCACTCCAACCATAAGCATATAGCTTTTTTTTCAGTCCAAAAGCTATGCACTTAGAGTACATTCTGTATTCTAGTGACGATGACATTAAATCCAGTGGGGCAAATCCTTGGCTGGTATTATTGATACAGCCTCCCTGACTTTATTGTAGATCTTCTCCCATCATGTTTTCCTCAATCATTAAGTAACACAGGAAACAAGTAGGCAGATTTGCCTAAATTAGAGGTGAAGAGCACTCCAACAAGTATGGCATTTTCCTTGTATTGTGTTATCCTATAACGTTGTTTGTCTTTTCTGTTAATTTCAGCATTTCCAGCGGTCCAACGCAAAAACCAGGCATCTTTATTAGCAACGTTAAGCCAGGTTCTCTTTCTGCAGAAGTGGGGTTAGAGGTGAGTATATTCTGCTCCAGATAAGATCTTGTTTTGCAATTATTTCTTATGATCTTTTTCAGAAGCCAAAAATGCCATGCAAAACGGTAAAGAATGAAGTGAGTGTCATTCATTATTTTTAATTGTTTCTTTTAGGTTGGTGATCAGATTGTTGAAGTAAACGGAATGGATTTTTCAAAAGTGGATCACAAAGAGGTAGGGAAAATAATTTTGTTTTAATTTAATTCAAATGTATTTTGTGTATAGAAAGTCTCTAACATTAAAGTGTACACTGTACCTTACACTGCCCACCCCCAAAGCATGCATGCCCTGTAGATGCCATTTAGCAAGGGATGGCCGTATGAACGAATGCTGCATAAAAGATGTAGACACTGAACTCCCGTTGACTCTAAGCAGATCTCTTTGAAAATCCAAGCCTCACTCACCTTCCACTCACTCTTCAAGAAAGAGAGAGGAGATGAAACTGTTTAGCGTAGCAAAAAGAAGATGGATATGTGACTTGATTGTGATACTTAATTAGATTAATAGGGAGAAAGTACTGGGTACAAAAGGACTAATTCAGGAGAGAGAGTCTGAATGAAAACGAATAGTTATAAGGTAAAGCTAGACAAATACAAATTAGCGATAAGGCAGAAATATAGTGATTAACCATTGGAACAAAGGGAGAATCCATCAGTTCCCGCTATCTTGATGTCTTCATATCTGTCAAACAGAACTTTTGGAGTTCAGTATAGGGATAACTGGATGAAGTAGCCTGGTCTGTGATATACAAGAAGTCAGATTAAGTGATCTAATGGCTCTTTCAGGACTTGAAACTATGAATACAGAAACCCTTCTACTTATTCTGTGTCTGTCATCTTTATATATCAAACTGATTTTTTTTTCACTTTCTTTTGCAGGCTGTGAGAGTGTTAAGAAGCAGTCGTACGCTGACTATCTCTGTAGTAGCAGGAGCTGTAAGTAATAAGCGTATCAAAACAGAAGTTTTATACAAAAGTTTTAAATAGGTCCTGTAGGTAAGAATTAGTAAAGCAGTCTTTGTTTCAGGATAGTTCATATTCCATTTGTTGAGTCTTTAACCTAAAATCTAATGAAGGCAGTGAGTCTTTCTGTGAAGTCATTGGTCTTTAGGGTACAGACAGAAGTGACAGTTTTCACCTGATCTGGACACAGTAAACAGCCTATAGCTGTGACCAAACACAAGTGCACGGCTGCAGACAGCTTAAAAAATGGACAGTCAGGTGAAAATCTGATCCCTCATTGCATGAGGTATCAGATAAAGATGTTCAAAATGAACATCTTCTGTAACTTGTGTTTGCACTGCCTTCCAGCCTGTCTCTGTTTTCAGAATGGGACGGGGGAAAGAGAGCAGAGGGAGTTCAGTCGGGGGGTTTTTTCAGTCCCCCCGGATGGTGGGGCGGTTGTATTGGAGCCCTGCGCATCCCCAGGGTCGGGGGCAGGGTCCAATTCACCCATCCCACCCTTCAGCCCCAGCTGGGGAGCCCCAAGAATGAGCTCCCTCTGTTGCCTTTCCCTCTCCCATTCTGAAAACAGCCAGAATTGGTACAGAGCCATGGCCACTGGTATAGGAACCTGGCTGTATGCTCCCAGCCTAAAGCTAGATTCCCCTCCCCCTGGAACCAACAGTGAACTTCTGTTTGGTCTGGGATAATGTAACTCAGGATGCTTGGCAGAAATTGTTCTGGGTTACAACTGGGAGCTGCACTTCTGTCTGCAAATCATATCTATAATCTTAATCCGGGTTTGCAGGCAGAGACAATAGCTAAAACTCTGAACTGAGGTAGTGGCAAGACACCGGGTCAAGTTCTACAGTCAGTTGTACCAGTGTCAGCCAACTGATATCAATCACTCTGATTCTTCTTTCATTGGTATAAATCACAAATATCTACACTGAAATCAGTCATATTGTACTGGTCCACTGGAGAGAAGATTCAGACTCCTATGGACTGAATTTTCTAGTTCACTTACAGCTGTTTTGTAGGCCTGTGCAAAGCGGCTAGTATTCGCTTGAGATTCAGATTCAGCCAATTCAGAGGTAGTGATTCAATTTGTTGATTCGAATCACTGTCCCAAATTGATTCGACCGAATCTGATTTGAAGATTCAGCCATCGCCAAATTAGCTGAATCTCCAAATCAAACAGGCCCCACCCCCACCTGCTCTCCCAGCCCGGTCAATGGCTGCCCCGCCCGGCCCCAGCCTCCTGGCTCTTTATTAAAAAAGCCCCCACTTACTGGCTGCTGCCAGGTGGGAGGAAGGGGGGCGATTCCCACTGCCCCGTGCTGCATGGGGGGCTCTGTCATGAGCCCCTATCCCCCATCCACTTTCCCAGCATCCCAGCTGTTTAAAAAAAAACAACCAAAAGCCCCCACTTACCGGCTCATGCCAGATGGGGGCACAATCCCCACTCCACCCCTTATGGCTGTCCCACCTGGCCCCACCTCCTGGCTCTTTAAAAAAAACAAAAAACTCTGACTCACCGATTCCTGCCAGGCTGGGGGGGCTATCCCTGCTGCCCCATGCTGTGTGGGGGGCTTTGCCATGAGCCCCCATCCCCTACTCTCTCTGGGAGAGTAGGCAGGGGTCGGGGGTGCCCAGGGGGGCTGGGAGAGCAGGCAGGGGATGGGGCCTGGCGGGGTCCCCCCATGGTCCCTTCCCCTCTCCCCCCTCCCCCACCACCTCCTACTTACCAGCAAGGAGTCCAGGTCCAGCTCCCTGGTGGTGGTGAGCAGGGACTGCCCGAATCTACGAAGATCTCTGAATCTTTTCCGAATCGATTCAGACCTTTTTATTGTTCTTTTGATCCAATTCGGATTTGAAGATTTAGCTGCCGAATTGGACCGAATCTCCTCCGAATTGAATCAGCACCCGAAACTTCACACACTGCTACTGGTTTGTGCTGCTCCAGAGGAAAGAGCTGTAGCAGAATAAGGCCTCTTCCTGTGTCTCAAAGACTCCAGTGTGATCTGGAAAGCCTAAGGTCCTAGGGTCAAGTGGCTCCCTTGACCTGCTGGCCCTCAAGAAGCATACCCACCTTTGAAAAACAGAATACGGATCCTACACTTCGGAAAAGCAGAGTTTTCTCACTCAGAGAACTGATGGGCAGGATCCCCTGGAAGGCCAGTCTGAGGTAGAAAGGAGTCCAGGAGAGCTAGTTATACTTTAAAGCAGGGGTGGGCAAAATGCGGCCCGCAGGCCGGATGCAGCGCACCAGACCATTCTATTTGGCCCACAAGGCCACTAAAAAATGTAGAAAATTAATATTTATCTGCCCCTGGCTGCTTGTCACATGGCCCTCAATGGCTTGCCAAAACTTAGTAAGCAGCCCTGTGCCTGAAATAATTGCCTGCCCCTGCTTTAAAGAAACCTTACTGAGGGCACAGGAATTAACCACGCCCAGGAGGGGGAGGCCTGCCTCCTTCCCATGCTCTTTGCCTGTGGAGCCTGTAGCTGTCTATTCCAGTGCTTTCCCCCTTAGGATCTGGGGCTTGTGCCCCACCTTGCCCATCCTTACTTACGCTCTGCCACAACTTCCCCACTCCATGAATATCCCATCTTTCTCTTGATGCACTCTGTGCATTATGGGTGAAAGAGAAGCTGCAGTAAGTGCATCACAGCTTTTTCAAACTTCCCACTTTCAAAGAGTTCTCCAAACTACAGATAGTTGCTGGCTGTTTTTGCCTAGGATCTATCAATTGTGAGCGTGAATGGAGTGGAGAATACAGTTCTCCTAAACAAGTACTTTTTAGTTGAAACAATACAAATCCGTTTTGACTAGGTTTTTACTGTTCAAAAGGTCTGAAGAATCAGTTCCGTTGTGTTTTCTCTGATAACTTTAGATGAAAATGTTCCATACCATTTAACAGAAAAGTAAGTTCAAACAAGAACTGGGAAAACAAAATAGCTAAGATGTGGTGATTGGTCTAAATTCTGCAACACTTCTGCCCCTCTTAATTCCTTGTTCACTCGCACTGAATGTAGATGCTGACATTTGCCCATCCACTCGCTCACAGCACCTCTGATGCTGCCTTCTGCTGTTGCCATTAGCTTTAGTAGGAACTGAGGTTGCACAGCTCACAGGAGGTGCACAGCACACCTCCACATTGAGTTTCAAGTCATTTAAAATGACTGTAGCAGGGATGTAGTGATCATGACCGTTTGGTTCCAGTGGTATAGATGTGACTAGGAAGAAACAATGGGAGGAAGCTCTACAAATATACAACTTCCCTAGCAGCTTCAGAATGATTTGTTAGGGGAGCTAAGTGCACTATAATTTTTGTGATTTCTGTTTTAATGGATGGATTGCAGGGAAAAGAGCTTTTCATGACTGAAGAAGAGCGGCAGAGAGAGGAGCGCCTTCATGAACTGGAGCGTCAGGAATTAATGCATCAAAAGCGGCTTGCATTAGAGACAAATAAAATCTTCAAAGAACAGCAAGAGAAAGAGAAGCTGTAAGTACTTTAGAGGAAGGGGTTATAATTCACTGAGCTTTGACTTAAAAATGGCAATTATGACCAGGAAAAAAATGTGAGAAGACTCTAAATTCATGTTAACTTTTTCTTGCTTCTAGAAGATTTTCTCCTTCCAATTTCCTTCTCCCTCAGCCCTGTGGACATTTTGGAACTTCAAAGCTAAAGTCATTCAAGGGTATGGCTACACTACAGTCTGCAGAGTGGTGTACAGATACTTAGGGTTCCTAAGCAAGCCCAACTACTGCAGGCGGTTCAGGCACAGAAATAAAAAGCTCTGCTTGGGCTAATTTACCCAGCTTCTCAGCAGACTGCAATGTAGATGTGCCTGAAACATATCGCCTCCATGTCCGAGGAAGGTACCAATGACATCTATATAAAACCATTCGATAACAAATAAGAACCACCCTTGTCTTGCACTTATCACACCTGAATCTCAATCCTTCACCTATTGTGGGGGGAGAGAGCCAGCAGCAGTTGAGAGTGCATATGAAGTTTCTAGCTGTGATCCCTTCTTGGCAGTGAGGATATATAGCAAGAGGAGCTGGGAAAAGACTGGAATCTAGCATGCAGGAGAGAGATAGGGGAAGGGGTAGGTTAGTAGAGTCAGAAATGGTGGCAAAAGAAAACCACAGCAGGTGGAAGTATGTTGTGAACCGATAATACAATAAGAAATAGCTAGACCATATTTAAGTTAGCACTACCATGTGGCCACAAACCATGTTAAGTACTTGTTATGCTTGTTTCCTGAGCATGAGATATATAAGGATGAATTGAGCAATAGGTATCCATGCCTAGATTATATTGTAGAGAAAATGGTTGTTTTTAAGCACTTTCATTTACATTTACCAAGGTCTCTCAAGAGTACCAAACCACAAGGCTACAATTTTCTTGCTATCTGAATTCGGTACACTGACCACAAAATGAATTTCTTCAATTGAATTGTTTCTTAGCAAACCAATAAAGCACTTCCCTTGGTCAAATTACCTTTTTATACTATGCAAGACATTTAGCAAGACAGCTAAACGTGAAAGCTTGGCCATAGCAATCCCCTGGCAGTTCTTTGAATGCTAAGGACAGCCAAATCCAGGCATTGGTGGCTCAGTAGCTATTGGTGATCCACAGGAACCTTGCAGTTTCAATTGAAGCTAAGATTCTAGGATTTCTTTGTTCAACAACAGATGCATGAAGGTAGGTGGTATCCATCACAGCAGCAGTGATTTGTCACTTTGTGTGGGCAGCTTACAGTTATAAACATGAACATAGGTATTGGGGAGAAAAAAATGATTCTTCAGCTTCTTTGGCCTTCCTCCTCTGATTCTACCTCTGTTCCCTAATATTCCAATCCCCCACTGCCTGGTTTGTCAAAAGTAGAATCATATTATCCACTTACTGTGTTAACTCTTTTGAAACTTCCTTCATGGTATATTTGTGTTCTCCTCATTTTCTTTGGACTCTGTTGCCCCTGAATGCCTTCTTTCCCCCTTTACCTTCTTTTCCTCATGCAGTGTGACCATAGGCAAGTTCTAAAGCCTGTATCTTTCCTTACCGACTTTTCCCATCCGTGCTCCTTTTCCAATGGTCTTTCTCATGCAGCTGCTTGCACTTCCTTCAGTTTGTCCAAAGCTATTCTAGTTCTTCTAATTTAGATGCAATTTCTGCTTCACTCTCAGCAGTGGTGTTAGGCTTGCTGTTAGAAAAAATGGATAATAATTATTGTTACATGTAACTCACAGAAAACCTGAGGCACTGAGTAATTACGTTATTTTCCTTAACTTAAGAGCCTGACTTCTCTTTAATATTGGGAACCTTTTCCTCCAATGTGGCAGTATAAAGGAGGCTTTAAAGTGGGTGCATCTACATGTGCTATTAGCACACAGCAGTAAACTGCGGCGCATATTGCACTGGAGTTTATTGCTCCCAGGCCCACTGTTTGAACATGCACCTGGGACTGCAGCATGTTGAGCCCGGTTGGAGTAGCCCCATCTGGCAGGGGACCCCGCTGAGTCAGCCTGCCAGCCCAGGGCTGTTCTGACTTGGCTCAACATGTTGCGGAGGGGCTGGCTGGGGCACAAGAGTGCTTTGGTGTGGGAGCTGTCTGCCGGCTAGCCCCAGACTGAAGCATCCTTGTACCCTAGCCAGCCAGGTCAGCATCTACATGTGTGTTGCTGTGCATGAAAAAACTCTGCAGCAGCGTAGTACTTGTACTACCTTTTTAGTACTTGTATTTACAAGTTCTACCCTGCTGCAGAGTTAATTAGTTTCCTGTGGCCCAATATAGATGCGTAAACATGTAGATGCGAGACATTTACTGTTGAAATAATTAGTCAACTCTGCAGTAAATGTCATGTGTAGATGCACTCAGTGAATATAAATGTAATTTACTGCTACTTTGAAACCCCTCTGTGATGCCAGAGCAGTTAAAAGGGCTTATAGCATAAATAAGAATGAAGGCCACAAAGTTGGATGTAGAATCCCAGTAGTCTGACTTTCAGACAAAGTTAAAAAGTTTTTATTCTTGCTTTGCATCTGTTTACTATGACTTTACTAAGCTTGTGGCTGCATTTACTACAAGGTATGTTTTTATTGGCTTCTGAAAACCACAGGAAAAAAATATAGGTTTTTTTCCCAGCTAATATTAAAGTTGTTTGATTTAAAAATCTCTGAATTCAAAGCCTTAAGAGCTAAACAGCTGACAGAAATGCCACAACTATGGCCAAGATAACTATTGGCTCCAAAATGTATCTTGGTTATCTATTTATGTTAAAAGTAAGCCAATTAATATGGGAACAACAGGGTCTGAATTATTGAGAGACATGTTGGGTAGGGCTTGATGTGGTGATTTCTGTTGCAACAGAGTACTTGGTTAAAAGGTGTGGAGGCCCACATTCTCTTCTCATCACTACTGTCTTCCCATTAATTGACATATTGTGGTGATTTTTCTCCGTTTGCTAGAAAGAGGTGAACTCTCCAAAGCCAGATGAAAATTTTCAGTCAAGTAGGTTTTTTTAACTGAAAATTGCACCTTTGGATCGAAAGTATTCTGAATTCAGACCGGGTTTGGTAAATAATTTCAACAAGGGAAAAATTCATAATAGTTTAACATTTCATTTTTTAAATGTTAAAAAATAACAAGAGGCAAGGATTTCTTAGGGTGATATCTTTTATTGGCCCAGCTGTGTGGTTGGGATAGAGTTAGACAAGCTTTTAAGTATCAAGTCATTCTGCAGGTCTGAGGAGACAAGTTAGTACAACAAAAGTAAAAACATTTGGAAGAAGGGGAAAAGAAATTCCCAGGGGCAGCACACAAACAATTAGCAGAAGAAAAGAAGCTGAAAACTGGGAGATCTAGGTCTGTCAAAAGGAAGGATGGTCATTATCACCTTTCTTGTGTGGGAAGAATTTAGGAATGAGGTGGATATAATGTGCCTTAAAGCCAATATCAGTGTTAAATCCTTGGATCGTAGTGTTCAGCCAGCTTATGAATTTTTGTTCCCCACTTACCATTTTAAAGGTATTAGGTAGATTTCCCTTGCGCATGAGAAAAGTGAAGTCAGAGAGGGAGTGTCTGTTCTGTGAAAAAATGTACTCCTAATGGTGTATGTGTGTGTCTGCCCTTTATATTTTTGGTGTGAGAGTTCGTTCTGATGCTGCTGTTTTCGTTGCTGTTTAGTTTCATCCATATAGTTGCTACGAGGGCATGTGGTGCATTGAATCAGATACATCATATTTTGGAAAAGGCATGTGTAGGATCCATGGATTCTGATGGTTTCATTATGTGGGATGTTGATTATTGTAGCAGTGGAGATGTATTGACAAGTTAAACATTTCTTGATAGAGCAATGCTGTGCCCCACTTGATGTCTGTTGAGCAGTGGAGAGTTTGCTTCTGATGATGAGCTGGGTAAGGTTAGGGGGTTGTTCGAAAGCTAGGAGTGGAGGGGCTGGAAATATTTATCTAAAGGTGTGATTTTTGTCGCGTATAGGCTGTAGTTGTTTAATTGGTTCCAGTGTGAAGTGGTAGGTGACCACCAGAGGTGTGCAATCACAGGAGGGTTTGCTTTGGGTTAAAGTGGGGCATTTGGATAGCTCTTTCAGTTGTATAGTTTATTTCTCTACTGGCGTGTCCTTGTTTTATAAAGGAAGATTTTAGACTGCAGGTGGACATCACAAGTGTTCCCCTCAGAGCATTTGTTTTGGTACCTAAGTGTCTGACTATAGATTACAGCTTTTTTGGTGAGCTTGGGATGACTGTTGGTCTTGTAGGCATAGGAATGGTGGGCCCTGGGTTTTTTTATGTATATGTAGTAGTTTGTAGGTGCCATCCCAGTTGCGGATTATAGTATCTAGAAAGTCAGTATTTGTGTAGGAGCATTCCAGAGAGAATTTGATTGAGGGGTAATAGTTGTTAAACCTGTGGTGGAAGTCAGTAAGTGAATCCAGGCATTTAGTTCAGATGATGAAAATATCATCTCTGTAACACAGGTATGGGGCAAGGTTCGTGGTGCAGTTTCCTAGAAATTCTTCCTCCATGAAGAGGTTCGCATATTGAGGAGCCATCTTTGAGCCCATAGCTGTGCCCATAGTTTAGAATGGGTTAGGAGAAGTGTCAGTTTTTGAAAGTGAAGCTGTTGTGGGTGACGATGAAGTGGATGATATGTGCAACATATTGTTTCAAATCTGTGTGTGCCTCACCTCAGTCCCTGGAAAAATCATGGAGCAGGTCCTCAGGGAACCCATCTCTAAGCACTTAAAGGAGAAGAAGCTGTTTAGGAACAGTCAGCCTGGATTCACCAGGGGCAAGTCATGCCTGACCAACCTGATTGCCTTCTATGATAAGATGACTGGCTCTGTGGATGCAGGAAGAGCAACGGACATGATATACCTCACTTCAGCAAGGCTTTTGATACAGTCTTCCAACATATTTGCAAGCAAGCTAAGGAACTATGGATTGGAGAAATGGACTTCAAGGTGGATAGAAAACCAGCTGGATCATTGGGCTCAAAGGGTGGCATAAACAACACATTCCCCCCAGCAGCTGGCAGGGCACAGCTGTGCTGGCGGCAGCAGGAGCACAGCGGTGGTAAGCACGGAGCTCCTGCAGACGCCACCAGTGCTGGTGGAGGTGGGGGGTGGTGAGCGCTGACCAGGGGTCGGCAACCACTCACAGGTGCTGTCAGCAGCAGCCAGCAGGGATTGCAGACCACCCACACACGCCACCGGCAGTGTTGGCAGTGGAGTAGCCAGCGGCGACCGCACACAGGTGCCACCAACACTATCAGCAGCACCTTTTTGTAGGGGGTGCACACAGTGCACCCCCTATGCATCACCCCTGAAGGGGAGTAATCAATGGCTCAATGTGTAGTTGTCAGCTGATCTCAAGTGGAGTGCCTCAGGAGTCAGTCCTGGGGCTGATTTTGTTCAGTATCTTCATCAATGACCTGGAAGTTGGGATGGAGTCCACCTTCAGCAAGTTTGCAGATGACACCCAGCTGAGTGGTGTACTAGATATGCTGGAGGGTAGGGCTAGAATTCAGAGACCCCAACAAATTGGAGGACTGGACCAAAAGAAATCTCATAAGGTTCAATAAGGAGAAGGGCAAAGTCCTGCACTTAGAACAGAACACTGCACCACTACTGGCTGGGGACCAACTGAGTAAGCAGCAGCTCTACAAAAAAAAGACCTGGGGGTTACAGTGGACAATGAGATGAATACTAGCCAACAGTGTACCCTTGTTGTGAAAAAGGCTAATGGCATACTGGGCTGCATTAGTAGGAGTGTTGCCAGCAGATTGAGGAAAGTGATTACTTCCCTCTATTCACAACTGGTGAGGACACATCTGGACCACTTTGTCCAGTTTTGGGCCCCTCACTACAGGACGGATTTGGACAAATTGGAGAGAGTCCAGTGGAGGGTAGTGAAAATGGTTAGGTACACCGTGTGGAATTATACAAGTATGTGTTCATGCAAATTTGCACATAAAAGGCATGACTGTGGATAAGTGCATAATTGTGCATAATTTAACTGTGGCAGGCTCTATGCCTCCACCTCCATGATTGTGGAGCACAGAGCTGTGTGGCTAGACAGCCTGGTAAGTGGGGAGAGGAGCTTCTGCCTGCAGGAGGGGGTGGACATAGGGTTTGTTGGTGGGTGTGGAGGTGTGTGTGGGGCTTGTGGGTGAATATGGGCTGTGTACCATTGGGCCAGGCCAGCTGACTCAGTGCCCCATGTGGGGCTTCCAGCTCTCTAGTGGGAAGCCGCATGTGGAGGCAAGTAGGAGCCTACCTGGCTACAGAGGTGAAGTTGGGGGGGAGGATGCAGAATCAGAGTCAGAGCCACAACAGCTGCCTGCTTCCTCCTCTGCTTTGTATGTGAATATATCTTAATGAGTTTTTTTTCCCCAGGCTAATTGTGGGGGGGAAAAACACCTCCTCTTATATTTCAAGTAAATACTGTACTGTCTCTGTGTAGCTGTCTCCTCCGGCCTGAAGAAAAAAGGCCCGCATTTGAAAGCTTGTCTAAATCTTTCCCCACTACAACTAAAGAAATCCTTGCCTCACATACTTCCTGAGCCAGCATGTATAGAGCATCCCTAAAGCTATGAAAATATGCTAATTCTTTTTTTTTCCTAAGTAAAGTTTTGAGACCATATTCACAGAATCAAACTAAGAACATTTTTAAAATTGGGGGAAGTTTGTTTTGGCAAAAAAATTGAGGCATTTTTATTTTGGGTCAATGGCTGCCTCCCATGTAGTTTAGGCTCCAAATGAAAAATCGGGTTTTTTGTACAACCATGATTTGCAAATTTCACACAAGCAAGTAGGGGAAATGACTAAGGATCATGTTTTTAAAGGTATTTGGACACTTAACTGTCATTGATTCAGAAATTGATTAAAATATGTGGCCTTTGCAGATGTTGTAATTTTTCTGAAGTTTAACCTACAAGTTTATTACTAAAAGCCTAGATGCCTTTCCTAAAGTTCTCTGTGAAAATAGAAACTCATCACAAAATATGTCTCTGAACTTAGTGACTCTTTGAATAATAAAATATTTTCCTATATAGTACACAATACTTAGGTAGTAAGCAGAATGAGTCCTACTCTGCCAGTACTGGATGTTTTCACATCAGTGCATCATTAAGCCATATGCATTTAGCACCTCTCCTTTATTTTGTGTACAGGATTAGAAAGAGGAATGTGTCTGTATTATTTTTGTACATATTTTTTCAAAATCTCTCATTGTGCCTCTTCCATTGCCAATTTTGTAACAAAGCATATGGTTCCTTAGCTTCTATTTCTCTTAGTTAGCAAAATTACAACATGAATTCATTTTGGACCTCTGGTTTAAAGTTGCAATTGTGGCAATTTGCCTTGAGTTTGATAGGCCATTCTGCTTCCTAGTTGCCAGTCCACTTAGAAAGAAGCCATTCTTCCATGCTTGTAATGGGAAAAACACTGAGTATTACTTTCCAGTGTCGATTTATCTTTAGGCTGAACTGCACAGAATCAAAAATAGCATAAAGAGCTTGTTGAGCAATGAAGAATGAGTTCTGAAGTTGACAGGGCAAAGTGACTTCAGAATTTGAAGATCTGCCTCTGTCCATAGAGGCCCCAAGGCTTCTGAACTGAGGCAGTGAGGGCCAGGGATTGTAAAATAGGCTTCTTTTAAATTTTGGTATCTTACCATTCAGATTATCCCAGTGCAAGGTTTTCTCATCTGTGTATTTAATTTGTTTTATGTTAGTATCTATGCACGAGGGTAGTGTAATTTTATCATAGTATGTCAATTGTTCTGTTTTGCAGAAGAAAACAGGAGATGACTCAGAAGACTGCAGAGGAAGAAGAAAGATATCATAAAGAAATTGGACAGTAAGTAATTGCCTAGGTACACTAAATACACTACATATAATGACCAGTTAAATATACTAGACTTCATGAAAAGAATTCTGGCAATATCTTTTAAGCAAACATTCCTGTTTTGTCAATATGCAAATCTTTACTAGTTTTTTTCTTTTTAACAAAAAAAATTTCAGTGAAGAATAGAAAGCTGATTTTCCTTTCCTTTCCTTTCCCCACTGTTGTCAACTGCAAACTCCAAAATTAAGGATGAACAGGTGAAAAAAAATTCAGTAAAACTCCAAATTATTACTCAACCAGCTGACATGTATTATTTATTATAGCCTGTTTGTTCTCAGTGGTGGCAGATAACAGAAAAAGGAGCAATGGTATTAAGTTGCAGCAGGGGAAATTTAGGCTAGATATTAGGAAAAACTTTCTCACTAGGAGAGTGGTAAAACACTGGAAAAGGTTACCCAGAGAGGTTATGGACAGCATTCCCTCTAAGCTGTGCGGCGTGTGTGGTTGTGCAGGCATGCCTGGCAGTGCTGTATGAGCATGTCTGCGTGGCCACGCATGTCACACAGCTTAGAGGGAATGCTGGTTATGGATTCTCCATCCTTGTAGGTTTTTAAGACCTGGCTAGAGAAAGCCCTGGCTGGGATAATCTAGCTAGGGATGGTCCTGCTTTGAGTGGAGGGTTGGACTGGATGACCTCCTGAGGTCCCTTCCAACCCTAATTTTCTATGATTCTGCTCACTTGGAGTAGTATTGGATCTTCCAGCATTTGCTCCTGGGGACACTGATACACGAGACGCTCCAGGCGCTTTAATTAGAGTAGCTCTCAGAGTGTCTGTCCCTGCCTCACCCCCAGAGCATGTGTATAGACAGCCTTAGAGACTAACGGATTCAGAGAGGCATAAGCTTTCCTGGGCATCTGATGCATCTGACAATGTAAGCTGTTGTCTGTGAAAGCTTGTGCTTCTCTGAACCAGGTGGTCTATAAGGTGCCACCCTACCTTGGTTTTTATCCAACTTCAGCCCAGCATGCCTAATTACTTCTCTAAGTTAAGACAAGATAGCTTTCTAAAAGAGATGTTACAGCTCAAACAGAAGCTCATATAAAAAATTGTTGATGGAGTTTAAGTTCTTTAACTTGTCTTGTGCAGAGTCAGACTAGAGGATCCATAAGTGTTTCTCCTGGCTTTACAATCAGTCAAGGGTGCTGAGAATTGGCTTCTCCAGAGCATACCCCAGTGTGACATCAGACCAGTTCGTGTGGTTACTATGCATATGTATCTGCAGGGACTTGAATTTCCTTCAACTTCTATGAACCTTTCCCTCATTTAGGTTATTGAGAAAACTGTTGTTACAGGCCATAAACAGCATCAAAATGGCTAGTTAGCAGATTTGCACACGTTTTACCATAAGTCATGTGCATTAGTTCTGCTGGTGAATAAAACAGTAGACACAAATATACAATAAGAGTTATGCTTTTTAAATGAATTGGATGGAAATAATTTGTAATCAAAAGTAACAAAATATTCTTTGAATTATGTAATATTTTTTAAATCGGAACATTAAGCAATATGTTTTGTGTTTGTTAGGATAACAGCAGAGGAAGAGAAATTTAAGAAACAATGGGAAGAGGACTGGGCACCTAAAGAGCCACCTAAAACTGTAAAAACTGTGACTGCTGAAGTTCACCATGCCCCTTCTCCTAAACACAGAGGTAAACAACAGATTCTGTCCTGTTCCCTAGGGAAAATGGTGCTGGAGGAACAGTATCAGTCTTGGATATATAGAATATTTCACCAGTTCAATTTTAACATGTTATAGACATGAGTAAAAGTTAATACTTCTTGATTGTTTGCAAACCTATGAGATGTGTGCTTACTGGTATCTAGGTTACAAATCCCACCACCAGGCTTAACTGTAAGCCTTGTTACAGCCTCCGCAAAAAAATATGTTGGCCTGGAAACTGAGCTATCCCACCTAGAGATACTGAGTCTTCCCAGCCAGGACTGAGGTGCCATTCCCAGCCAGGACTGAGGAGAGATTTACTTTGCTGTTGTCCATATTATTTTTATTCAGCAGGTTCTGTAAGCCTCAGAAATGTCAACCTCTGGCAGATTTCCCAAGTAGTAATGGTATAATTTTCATTGAACTGCTCTCAATTGGAGATGCTTTTATGCTGAACACTTAAAAAAACAAACAAACTGGTGCCTCAATGGGAGCTAAGCTGTTTTATGAAAGTCTGCCCCAAATGCTTATATGCTGGATGTATGCACATGTATGTGTGAATCTGAGAAAATTTCATAAAATGTGCTACATGCTCTAATTTAATATCTATGAAGAAAATATTTTCTTCATAATAAATTACAGGATTTAGGGGCATTTTGTTACCTCAGAGCCCAATGTCAGTATTTTAACTCTTTATCTAGTGAGTAATCAGCTATGCGGACATCATTTTCATGATTGGTGTCTGACCTGGGAGAGATCTTGGGGAAATGGAGTGGTTGAAGGTAGAAATTTAATAGTCAGCTTTCAAACTGAGGTGGAGTAAGTGGATGCTCTCAGTTCATGTTGGGGAGAATGGTGGTCTCCCTCTCTCATATTTTTTCCTTAATAAAAAAAAATGGAATTCATGTTTTTGGCTCAGAGGGGTAGAACCTCTTGCTAGACAGTGCTCCTTCAGTCTGCCTAGCAACAGATGGCAGCAGTGCACAGGGCAACCCTGATTGGCCGACCTGGACTGCTCAGAGTCAGCCTGCGCCTTCCTGTAGCACAAAGTGGGATTGTTCTGCTTCCTACTTGGCTAGAGTAGTAGGGCATTTTTACACATGTAAGTGTCACTGCAACACTTGCAGTTGTATAAGCAGTGAAATGTGTGTCAGCGCTGAGAAAATGATGGCACTGCACTTTTGAACTAAAACACATAGAGGTGCTTTAGTTCAAAAGTGCACTGCCACCATTTTCTGTATGCTGGTGTGCATTTTGCTGCTTATACAACTGCACGTGATGCAGTGCAACGTGTGTCAGCTTGTATGCAGAGCAGACTCGATTAATCAAGTCTGCTTCAAAGCGGCGGATCTCCAGTGCATTGCAGGACAAAAAAGTATGTGTATAAATGTCCATGGAGTCCAGCCAGAGTTACACACTATTGGGGTAAGTGAGGAAGAAGCAGGAGCAGTGCATCCTGGGATGCTAGAGGACTGCTGTGACTTCTTTAGAAGGGTAAGTTGTACAGACATTCACTGTCCCAGGTGAGAGTGACTTAACACTGGTTGCTCCCAAGTTATTTTTTCCCTTTCAGCAGTCCAAGTCTTGAACATCTGTACACTCATGTTTTCTTCTGAGAGACCAGCAACTCTCCCAAGAAAAAGAGAATGTCTGTATGTGACTAGTTTTAGCAGTTTAGCTTTTTTGGACTCAGGTGTTGGAAACTTCTTAAGGTCACCCAAGAGAGAAACACGTGTATGGGAACAAGCCATTGACCTACTCAATAGTTACTTTGTAGCTACCATTCTTCCAAAAGGGCAAGTGGGGTAACCTTGGGAAATCACTTTGCTTCTCCATGCTCCAGTTTCCTCTCTGGTTAAATAGGGGTGATGTTACTTGCCTCCTGCAGAGTGCTTTTGAGAGCTATTCATAAAGAGCATAATGTAAGAACTAGATTTCATCATTATTACTGTATTTACTTGAATCCAAGATGAAGTTTTTTCCCTTATTTAGCACAGGGGAAAAACAAGCTTCATCTTGAAGTTGAGTATCAGTGCTCTGGCTCTGGCACCAGCTCAGCGCCATGCCCAGGCCAGAGATGCAGCCTCTGCCTGCACCAGGCTGGAACTGGGGCCAGAGCTACTGTTGCTGCAGCTGCTACTGCTGTGGCTGGGGGGGGGGGCGCGAGGGCGCGAGACGGCAGCTGCTCCTGCTGTGGCTGCTGCGGCTGCCAAGAGTCAGCAGTATCTGTGGTGACTTGGGCCAGGAACCACTAGCTAGGGCCAGGGTTTAGGTAGCAGTGTGGGGTTGGAAAACAGGCAGGGATAGGGCAGTAGCACACATAGGGATCAGAGGGGTGGGGATGGGGCAGCAGCATGTGTCAGGGATCAAGCAGTAGTGCATGTCATGGAACAGGCAGTGGATTGGACAGCTAATGAGATATGGGGGTGGGTGGCAGTCTGGGGAATTAGGCAAGGGGATTGGGAGGTAATAATGGTATGAAGGTGTCAGGGATTGGGCATGGTATTAGGCAACATTGGAAATCTGGGGGATTGGGAGGCAGTGAAGATCTGGAGGCAGTGGCAGTGTGGGTTGAGGATCAGGTATGGAAACAGGTGGTGGGGCACAGGGATGGGGGGTAAATAACAGGGGGCAGGCTGCCTGTTTTTCCCCCCCTCCCCCGGCCCCCCATGATTGGGGGCAAGTTTAAGACAACTCTCCAGCAATTAGATTCTATAAATGGAAAATTATAACCAATTTGTAATTTTCCATTTATAGAATGAATTATTGAGGTGTCATCTTACATTCACAGTCATCCTGGATTTGGATGACTGTGAATCATCCAAATACGGTATTTGTTTTTCATGCACTAATATGGATCTTTTTCATGTATAATGCAAGCTCGTTTGTGACTGCATGCACATTCTATCCCCTGACTAAATACTTGGCCCCTAAATAAGTCACATCATCTGGTACCTAATATTCCATGCTTTTGCACCTTGTAAAAATAAGCAAGGCCCAGGTTTCAGCAAATACTTCTGCAGTTCTTGTATCTTATGCACAAAGAACGGAGGCACCTGCTTAACTTTAAGAAAATGAGGAGACTGTCAGGCTCACTCTTACTGGGCCTACTTTCATGGTTTTATTTAAACATGTTTGTAAGTGTTTCTGGGTCAAGGGCTCAAGTCCATTTGCCAGCTTTTCAAGCAGATTAATTAGCAACCTACTTGAACTAATCACTAGAGTGGAACAAATGTCCATATCTCCTAGATGGGTTACAAGAGGTTTTTTGATGCACATGCTCTTTACTTTTCTGTTATTGAATTCCTTCCTGTTGTCCTTACTTCTTTTCTCCTCTCTGTTATTCCCTTCTTGTCACTTTCCCACCACTGCAGATTTTTAGCCCAAATTGTACACTCTCTACAGTCCAAAACTCCATTTAAGTCAGTGGTCATATTTTCTTCATAGGATTTGTCAAGGGAACAAATCTCCTCTGTAATAAGGTGCCATTTGTACACTGTAACTTTTCATAGAAGAGTTGTGCATTAGCGGTAAGAGTGGCTCAGCTCTCTGAAGGCAGTGGAAGTGCTCTGAAGCTTATTTTTAACTAAGAAACTAACTCCAGTGGTGGGGGTGGCAGGGGTATGGCCAGATGCTGGCTGGCATGGCAGGGAGGGGGTTTATCCCCCTCTGCCCGCTCTGCCCCCAGGGGGCTGCAGTGGGGGGCTGCCAGCCCCGAGTGCCGTCCTTCTCTCCCTGCATGGGGCGAGTGCTGGAATAAGCTCCTTCCCTGCCCCCTCCACCAGATGCCAGAGGGAGGGGGGAAATAACCCCTCTCTGTGCCCCAGCACCTAAGGGGGCCATGCTGGCTGGCCTCTGGCCATGCCCCCACTCCTGCCGCTGGAGTGGTGAGGGGGCAGAAATTGTGACAGGGCAGCACCCCGTGTCATGGTTTCCCAGGAACGCAAGCCTCTTCCTGGCAGGGAGCTGCGCTGCGGGCAGGGGCGGGGCAAGTAGCAGTGGTGCTATGGGAGGTTTGGGGGACTATGGCTGGCCCTTCAGGCCCCGATGTCACCGCTCGCCCCATGCAGTCTGTGGCAGCTCTGACTGCCCTGCCCCTGTCTGCAGCGCAACCCCTGATGGGAAGAGGGTTGCGCTCCTGGAAACCTTGACGGGGTACTGCCCCTGTCACGGTCCCTGCCTCCTCACCACTCCTGCGGCAGGGATGCAGGGTGGCCAGAGGCTGGCCAGCGTGGGTGCCAGGGCACGGAGGAGGGTTATTTTCCCCCCTCCCTCCGGCATCTGGCAGAGGGGACAGGGAAGGAGCTTATTCTGCTGCTTGCCCCATGCAGGGAGCAATCAGTAGCGGCATTTGGGGCTGGTAGACCCCGGCTGTGGTCCCCTGGGGGCAGAGGGAGCAGAGGGTGAATAAATCCCCTCCCTGCCCCTTCTGCCTCAGGGGGCCATGCTAGCTGGCATCTGGCCATGCCCCCACCCCAGCTGCTGAAGCAGTGAGGGGAGAGTCCCAGGCAGATACTGGCTTGGATCTGTGGCAGTGGGACAGGGCCAGTCCAATTGAGGCTACTGCCAGGGCTGGCCACACCACCCCTCCCACCCTACCCCCCCATATCACAGATTCCCTGCAGCCGAAGATGCATTCTAGCATCCCCCAGCTTCTGGCCTGAGCCAATGCAGACATGTGTCTGCATTTTCTGAATGTCTGTTCACTTGCAAATTGGTTCAGTCTAGGCAGGTTAGACTAACCTGCAAAGATTGAATCAATTCAGGCTCTGGCTTTTTGAATGTCTGTCCCTAGCCCTGGAGATCGGGAGATCTGGGTTCCATTACTGACTCTGCCACAGCATTGCTGCATGACTTTGGACAAGTTGCTTAATTTTGTGCTTCGATTCCCCAGCTAAAACGGGGAAGATGACACTTCCTTTCTCTCACTTGTCTATTTAGATTGCAAACTTGGAGGCAGGGTCTTTCTCTGACTACACGCCCTCCTAGAGCTGTGCCACAATTGGGTAATATTGTCATATAAATGTAATACTGCTGTTTTCTAGGAAGGGGAAAGGGTAGTGTTTTCCTTTTAATCTGTACCAGATCATTGTTGATGGTCAAATTTGTGAGTAGTCGCCATGATCCTCCCGCACGATGATCCTCCCCCAGCTTCAGTGCACTGCAGGTGCTTGAAGCTGCTTGGAGATCCTTTATTTCATTTAGGTAATTCCTGATGTACCTAATATTGTAATAACATGTAAAGCCTCACATCATTGCTTCTTCTTTATTTCATGGAAGCCTCTAGTTGCACTCTCATTTCTGTCTCCTTATTTCCTTCCCCCTTTGTTTCTTTAGTAGATTTAAAGGGAATTGCATGTGACCAGCTTACAGCGGATGACATGGATGGAATGAGCATGAAGCAGGACAAACAGGTTTGCTGTTCAGCCATAACTTCCTGTCCTGATTCAGATTCTTCCTATACTTCACTTCCTCCTGACAGTCTGTTTTGACACTGAACTGAGTGCTTCCTATTTTTCTCTGTTTCATGGGTAGGATAGTGTCCGTTTTATTTGAATAGTAAATGCTAACATAGTTACAGAGCTGAGAATATATATTGCCATTATTGTTCTCCAGAGATACCTGAAATGAATGCAAAGACTGTGGAGAAGAACAAAAATGAGAAATCAATGTAATTAATAGTGTTATTTATCAACATCAGATTTATTAATAAGTCAATGGATTTCTTGTGTGGTGCTAAATGGCTGTTTATTTTTACTTTAAGGATGTAGCTTTTAGGAAAGTATTTTAAAAAGAACATAAAGATTGAGAAATGGAGATTTTTTTCTCTCAGTGTTTCTCTGCAGCACGCAGGCTTGAAAGTTGTTTAATCAATAACTTGATTTTGTTCAGTAGGTTATGGCTAAACGATTGTCATGATCACTCTAAAGCATTGGGTATGACTGTAAATTATGGCACTAAGAGTGACTGTGTGTCTTGAATAACTAGCTCATATAAAATATATCAATAAAAATTAAGATGAACATATCGGTACATGTACATATAAAGCCTTTTGATCAATGCTGTTAGAAAGTAATTGTCATTTCTTACCAAAGTTTTGTTTTTACTCCTCAAATAGTTTTTAACCTGTTGCAAGTATATCTGGGTTGTTCTAAACCATTATTGGACTTTTCTTCAACAAACACTTTTCTTTGCATTTTTATAGCTTTTGGATGGTTTTATCGGTATGAAGGAAAATTTCCAACAATCCGCAAGGTATACAGCATATAGAGGTGTAAATTAGAGTTTGCTGTGGGTTTTGTGTTTACCTTTCCTTCTTTCTCTCTTATCATTCTTCAAATAAATGGTATAATAAGTGTACATTTATTTGTAACCACTGCGGCAAGTATCAAGCTCCTTTACATCACATGGACTCAGAAACTTCAATTTTTTTTGTACTTGATATACGCATGTGTAGATGGGTTTTTCTGGAGTGTGCCTGTGAGGTCTGATCCTTTTGAAGTACTGAGTGATTTCAAGGGGAATTGAGAGCTGGCAGCTTCTTGCAGGAGATGCTCATCCTGTTGTATGTCTGACTCAATAGGGTAGACAGCACAAATCTCACACTATCTGTAAGCCATCAAAATAGTGCTTAACAGAGATCTTCCAGAAGCAGAAATTCAGTGAGAATTGACAGCTTAGTTTTTATTATTGCTTTTAAAAATCTCTCAGTAAGTGGTGTCCTAAGTGGTGAGTAGGCTTTTGTGCAGGAATAAATTTCACACATAATGGATGAAGATAATCAAAACATGCTTCTAAAGTCTGATAAAAGGATAGTATGGTTTGAAGTATTACCTTTAAGTCATGCAATACTGTTTCAAATAACATCCTATTCCTGTTCTCACTTTCTGTTTCCAATATTTTTTGACACTTACAGAGCTTCTGCCATTGTTGTCTAACCCAGAGGTTGTCAACTAGGGGTACACATACCCCCAGGGGTACTTGGAAAGGTACTTGGGATTATGCGCGGGCAGACGGGGATGGAGTACCACCACCCACCACCCCGTGCTGCCACCTCCCAAGAGCAGGACCGGGGGGAAGAGGAGAGTGGCTCCCCTCTGCAGGCTGCACAGGCGCTGCCCAGACGCGGTGAGGGGCTGGAGGGAGCTCGCGCGTAGCAGCTGCTGCTGCTGCGTGCAACCCCCCACCTCCTCCCCCGGCTCCGTGTCCAGCTGCTGCCACCCCCTCCCCACCACTCCCTGTCTGGCTGCTGCCACCAGAAGGGGTACACTCCTTAAAAAAGGTTGAAAACACCTGGTCTAACTGGTTGATGTTCAGAACTGGTGGTGCCATCATATGGCCAAATCCTGCATTGCTCATATATCAGTTCTCTTACAGTTCTAGGTGTGCAGAGGAGTCAGGATAACAACTTTAATGCAAGCTTCATCTATCATGGACACTATTGAGAACAGGGGTGGCTAACCTGCAGCACGAATGCCACAAGTGGTGCACAGTCTCTGTGTGTGGCCCACAGCAGATCAAGGAGGGAGCAGGGTACACAGGAGCAGATAGGGGAGGAAGCAGAAAGCAAAGTAGCAGTTTTGTCAAGGAACACAGGAAAGGAAGCAGGCATCAGAGCAGCAAATCAAACAGGGAGCACAGGGAAGCAGAGAGCACAGGGCGCATGAAGCACTCGGAAAGGGTGCGAGTCTAATTTGTGTCATGTCTGGCAAAAAGGTTGGCCGCCTCTAATATAGAGGATCCTGTTTTACTACCCTGCCAGAGGAGAGATGTCAGAGTTATTTCCCTATGCATAAACCAGGTAACAACTGCACATTTTAGATATCACTTAGAACTTGTATCTCAGATGCAAATGACCACCATTTATACAGTTAGGTTATGTAAGAGAAAAACATGATTCTGTTTTGAAAGTGCTAACTTGTTAGAATAAATAAATGACTCCCCTGTGCACCTCTACATTGATATTCTTTAAGCATCTATATTGCTTTTGTAGGCCTTCAAAACAATTTGAAAATATTAATAAAAGCCTAATGCAACTCTCTTGAAGTATATTGCACAGTGGGTATGTCAACATGAGATACTTTCCTGTGCAATAAACTAATCTACTGCACAGTAAAGTGACACTGTCTACCCATGTGCACCATTTACTAAGCAGTAGATACTGCAGAGTAATATTTATGTAGACAATGACAAATTTGCTCCTTGTCAGCCTAAGCAGCAGGGGGCCACAGGGGATAGGGAACTCCCTCCCTGGTCCTGGTGCTGCTCAGCTCTCCGCAAGAGCTGGGAACCAGTCAGCGCCAGGACTGAGCTCTCTGCCCCCTGTCCCAGCTCCTGGCTCGGAGCTGGCTGCTCTGGAGGGTGAGTGAGGGCTGAGAATCCAGCTCTCATCTGTCCCCTGGAGCATAGAGTGCACCATAGTTTCATAGTAGTTTCATAATAGTTAGGGGCCAGAAAGGACCTAAATAGATCATCTAGTCTGATCCTCCGCCACTGGCCGGAGCACATGCTGGGATCACACGACCCCAGACAGATGTTCATCCAACCTCCACGTGGGGCTGCTCTGGGGGACAGGTGAGGGCTGGATTCCTAGCCTCCACCCACTACCCAAAGCAACCAGCTCCCTGCCAAACAGGGCAGATGCTGGTGGCCCTGTTTCTCCCCCACCTTCTCCCACCTACCCAGCAGGAGGCTCACTGGCAGCTATTCCACACTCGAGACAGCTCCTGGCTGGGGTCTTCCTGGCAGCTATGTCCCCCCACAGGCTTGGGGCCAGGAGAGCTCTGCTAGCTGCAGGGGCAGCTCTCTCCTGGCCCCGTGCACATCAGATCCTTTTTTAATGTGCATGGGGCCAGGAGACAGCTGCTACTGCAGCTGGCAGTTCTCTCCTGGCCCCATGCCTGCTGGGACCAGCCCTGTGCCCCCTGCCATCCCCCAGGCTAGCACCTGGGGGAACCTGGAGCTCCCCTGGCTGCTGCAGGGGGGCAGAGAAGGGCAGGAGCCACCCTGTACCAGGCTGCTCCTATTGGGAGCAAATCTGCTCCCAAGAGGGAGCATGTATAGATTTAGTCTCAGGAAGCCATACTGCTCAGTAAACCTACTATGATTTATTAGCACATGTAGATGCGTCCAGTGTGAACCAAAAGCCTAAAAAAGAGTATTTATGATCGAACCAGTTTTTGCTTTTTAAAAGTGTTTTTAAAATATTTGAAACTGGGAAATATAATTCATCTTGCTCAAAAACTGCAAACTAATTTTTATAAAATAAATTCACTTCCTCTTAAAGATATTTTTAGTTCAGAGCAAAACCCAAGGAACAAACTATGAATCCATAGGAAAAAATGGAAGGGGTTACGCTAGTCTTGTTTTTGCTTATAATAATGCATTTGGCTAGTATTGGTGGGTATTTGTTTGTCTTTTCTAGTACTAATAACATACACAGTTCAGTTCAGTGTAAATCTGTATAATCAGAAATAAGATGTTAACACCTAGCACATAGAGAAGAAAAATTTGTGTCTTTTTGTAAATAATGAGCTAATATCTTAGTAACTGTAAGGTGCAAACTATAGGTAGTTCTACACAAGACATGAAGTCATTGTAGTACAAATGATAAAAACACAGGCACAAGACATTGGTTTTGACTGCAGAAGCATGCAACTACTGAAACACATGGAACACATTAATTTTACCTGTTAAGACTACTCTTTCCATCAATAATAAAATTAACTGAAGCAAATAAAATATAACTTCATTGTACTCATCAGTTTAAGGTACCAGTTATTTGAATGTGGTAATTCCTTTAGTTTTTTGTTTTGACCAGAAAATAGAATGTTAGAATCCTTCCAAAAGTTAGACATATGACCCAATATGTCATATGGGTCATATGTCTTGCCAAGATTAGACATATGACCCAATACCTTTTCTCCAGTATTGTACAAGGAATGGCAGGGTGGCACCTTAGAGACTAGCTGGTTCAAAGAGGCATAGGTAACAACCTACTCTGTCAGATGCACAGTTAACTACCTGTTTCCAGTATTGTAGGACTGTTAAGTTTATCCTTAGTTATACAGAGATTGATTGTTGCATGCTTTTTCATTGCACCCTTGGGTTCCCAAACTGCTGAGAAGTTCTCCTGGCATAAAAGAGGAACAGCTCATGCTTTCCTCAGTATACTGCTTGTACTCTTCCAACCAAGCCTGGAGCCCTGTCCCTTGCTGCACTGGAAGCCACCTACCTGTAGCAAGCCAATTGATTCCTCTCTGCTGCACCTTGGTCATGAACACGAGCACAGCAGGGGTCCCCTGCCCTACCAGTTAACCTTGGCAAAGCCAGCTGATAGTCACTAAACTCTCAGCTGGCGTGCAAGTTTCATCTAACACAATTAGGACACAAACTTCAGAGCTTCTATCTGAAAGTTTCCATTGTATTAAAAGAGACTATTTTTTTCTCAAACGTGTAAGCTTTAAGATCTTTTTGTACAGTGTTAGCACTTATTTTTAAGGGGCCAGTACATATGAGGTACCTTTTAATCCTCTGGCTGCCATGAATATTCATTTGTCATCCCTAAAATTCACCACAGTCTTCATGTTGCAGTCTCCTTGCTTGGGGGTGATTCAGTTCCCTCTGACTGAAATTTCTCTTTACAACTGCTTGTTCTCTCTCTTATTATGCATGTCATGTAGTATTTTTACTGTGTGAAGCAAGAAAGGCTCTTTACAAAGTTTTCACTTCTGCCTGTAATACATGAGCACCTATCATGTAAATGCCTTCATTGTATCAGACAAGGTTCTTTGGGTAAATCTGATATCTTTTATTAGACCAAATAAATAGTTGGAAAAAAAATTCTTAGCAAACTTTTGGGCTTAAAAACCCTTCGTCAGGCTGAGGAAGCATCTGTAGTTGGTGTGTGCTCTTCCTGGATGGAATGAATAGTATCATGCACTTACTAAAAAGAAGTAATTTATGAATAGTGTAGTGCTTCTATCAAACCAAATATCCCACGCTTCAGTTTTTTCCTCTCCTGTACAATATTTAACTGCTTTGACCCATGCAGGAAGACATATAACCTCTCTGAATAGGGGCAAATTTCATTTCATATATCAGAGAACTTAATTCTTCTAAGACAGGTGCTTATGTATCTGAAGGCTCAATGAAGCTGAAAGTTTGTGGTGTTTTTAACTACCATTAAATAGACATGCTGTGCTTTTGTGTAATTAACAATTTCCCAGAAGGGGAAAGAAAAAAAGAAATCAAAGAGTGACAGTATGTGTGAGCAGAAGAAAAATAAAAAGGAAATGGAGTTTGAGCAAAAACTTGCCAAAGAAAAAGAAGGGATGTTGGAAAGAGAAAAACAGCTGAAAATTAACCGGCTTGTACAAGAGGTATGTTGTTTTAGGCTCTGTGCTATGTTTCTTTACAATTTCCTTCTTCTTGTTCCTGCTTTCCTTACTGAGGGAAAAAAACCCTTTTGACTCTAACAAGAATATTAGCCCCAGCTTAGTAAGTAAAGCAAATACCTTCAGGCCACCCCTTCCAGCCCTGTGCATGTGTGAGGATCCTGTTTCACTAAAATGCATCTTATTTATTACATTTAAAATACCTTGCTTAACTGGGACCTTGTTTGTTTGAGGGTGGTGGTACCTCAGCAGAACCCATTATGGATGTTCAGTATACCTTGCATCAGAGAAGACTTACCAAGCAAATGCTGGAAATGGTGCTCACCACTTTCCTTTTCTTATTCATAAGAACCTACCGAGTTCACAGCAGAAGTGGGCTGTGTGGCAACTCTTTCAATCTTGCAGGTTCCCCTGCGTACCTCCCTCCCACCCCCGTTGCTGAGGGGCTCTGGTGGCCCTGCTGCTTGTTGCTGACCGGCTGGGAGGCAAAAACAGTGCCATATTTAAAACAGTGTTTGTGCCTGCCTCCGCTCGATCAGGCACTCTCGGGCTGCTCTAGCCCGAGTGGCCGTTCTCACTGGCCAAGGGCTCACGAAACG